GTCAGAGCCTGTAGGATGTTAAAAAACAATTATTAACATCAAATATCCACTCCCAACCCACAATACTTTTTCCCTGTTCCATTCCACATTATTACAAATAACTTCATTTCTGGACATTTATGGTTTGATTTCTTTGAATGTATGGATCACTTGGGTTGTTACCGACATCTGGTGAAAATTTCATGTCATTAACACCTCTAGTAATATATTTACTGAGAAAAATGTTGACGTGTTCAATACTTATTTTACCCGCTGTATCCAGTTTATGGTTCAATCAAACATCTGTTTTAAAAAGTAATACTCTTATTGATTAATTGGAATTCAAGATTGCCATAGAGAATGTAAACTGATCTGAATGGTTCTGAGTGACAACTCTGTTTATAGCTCTTGTCACACTCGCCTACCCCTCGAAGATTAGGCCTCATAAACAAAAGCTGTCTATATAATGGTGGCCTTTATGTGCAGTAATTGTTATCAGGTTACCGGTATGATTGTAAGTTGCAGAGGTGTGAAAATAAATGGATGTTTCTCTTTACAGGTTTAAATTAACCTCCCTAAAAATAGAAGGGTCGTTAAGTCTGAGATCAGGGCAGCGGTCATTAAAGTCATGGGTGTCATTAAAGTGTAAAGGAAAAAATAATAATAATCTTTATCAATTTTTTCTACATCTTCTCTCCTCCTCCTGAATGTTTAATGCAGCATGAAGGGAAAACACTCCTTTATGTGAGCAGCAAGGGCGGCATCATGCATCCTTCTTCCCGTGGACCTTTTACCACAACTTCCCTAATTAACTTTAATGGCCAGTAATATCATTTTATGTTTTTCCACTCTATTCTGTTTGAACTCCTCTATGAATCCATATTACACTCCTCCATGATTGGTCTTCCATCCTACAAAGGCAACTCCTCCACCTCCATTCTTCTCCTCCTTTTTCTACCTCCTCAGACCTGTAGTGTCAATGGTTTAAACGGATTGCTCTCGCAGACAGTTAACCTTCTCATCCCATAAAAAGTATAATTGGTTTACTATAGAAAGGAGGCTTCTCCATACTAGGCGTAATCCCTTGGCTTGATTAATGCATCTCTAATCAATTGGTGTCTGGGAGAACCGCCTCTTCAGTCACATCCTATAAAGGGGAACAGCTGGACTGTCTAAAGGTCAGACAGTGGGGGGGGTACCTGGGGTCAGAAGGACTGATGGATCAAGCAGGGGGTGTCATATTACTTTCACATGCTAACAGAACTGTTGTTAAACTGTAATAATCATAGCTTTGTTCTGAGTTTGTGTCTGAGGCTCTTGTTTTAATTAGGAAAACAACAAAACCATCCTGTTTTTAAGCTCTGCGCCTTCAACAAGCTCAAAATGAAAACTTGGTTCAAACAGCATAAAGGTTGAGGTTAAGGTTAAGTTTAGGTTTAGCAACAAGGGTGAAGGTTAAGGCCACAGGGGGTGCGAGGACGATAATAGGATCCCCTCCCTAACGTTTATATTACAAGTCTGCATCTGTGCATGTGTATTTACCGTTCGCATTCCCCTGTGCGAATTCATGAATCCATAAAGTCTTCTCAGAAAAAAAAGAAAAAAAAAAGAAAAGAACAAGAAAATACTTCATTTGGATGAAATTGCTTCAAGATGCATCTCAGCACTGACATCCTGCAGAATGAGAAAAGATCCCCTGGTGTATTGCTCTTGTAATTTTCTCTTCAAACAGGACGTGCTATCATCCTCGCAGCCAACACTGCTGAAGGGTTTGTGCTCCATTCAGAGCAGATTTGAATAAGTCTTGGAAATTGACACAGAGCCTGCTGTGATGTATGAATATCAATGTCACCTCTGACAGAGTACAACAGGAGATGGGGAAATATCAATTTATTATGAGCTCTGGATTGGGACAAACCATCTCACTTTGAACAGACCTAATGTTTTCCCCTCCTATGAACAGGTCTGTGGATCCTCCGTGGAGCTGTCCTTGTGGAGGGGAGGTTATCTTCACCCAACACAGCAATCGATACACAATAATACGACTGATGGACACTTCAAGATGACCACGCTGAACAAGTCGTCACCCCTGAGGACTCTGAATGGTAAATAATGAATCACTACATTAGTACAATGTCTGGTGTATACATTAGCATTCAAAGTGGACATCTAAATTACTTTGAATGTGTAGTGTCACTTGTCACCAGGAGAAGATGAATGCTTTTGTCTCTGCAGCTGCTCTGACATGATCCCTGCGATTTAAAATAAAAGGCAAGAAAACTGACCTCACCTACTGTACGTGAGCTGAAATGGACTCTCAGGCAAACCTCAGAGCGAGTTGCGCATTTTTTTCTGAGGTGCATCAAATGTGTTAATTCCAGACTCCTGCTGTAACGCAGGCAGCGATGAATTATCTCTCCAGTCTCCCTGCTGCAGATGTTCTACAGCTATCAGTTTACCGCCGCTCTGTTCTCTTCCTGCCTTCCTTCCTACCTCCACCTCCAGCCTTTTCAACTTTCCGCAGGGTGTCACAGCTGATTGGCTGCTGATTTAGTTGAACTTGTAAACAACAACAGCCATCTGTCTCCATCAACTTTAATAACAGCTCAATGCTTATTCCTTTATTTATAAGGAATCTGGCGCGCAGGCAGCAGGCGCTCGGTGTTGGCGGGGGGCGGGGGGGTATCGCAGCACGGCTTGTGTTAGTATGCACACGCATGCCTCTCCAACACAGACTCACTGCGACAACACTGCAGTCAGACATGGGGGAGATGGCGAAAAAGGGAGTGGGGGCAGGAATAGAAAGGAAAGTCTGTTTCTGAATACTTTCAGCATCTCTATGAGGTCAGAAGCAGAGATTGTTTTGTTTTCTAAAGAGTTGCCAGTGGGCATAAATACACACACATAAAGCTCTTTAAATGAGGCCCAGAAAAGTGAGTGGAATAAATATTTCACACACACAAGAAAGCACAATTGATTTGTAATGGATCTTCAGTGTGCTGGTAAGCAAACCCCTTATTGTGTTGTTTTATTATTAATACTTCTCAGCCAATGGGCTGTGGAATATGCATGGAGTGACCTGCCCTTCCCTCTTCTTATGCTAATCGTCACTGACATTTCCAGCTTATAGCAAACCCGCCTCAGTCGTTCTGCGGCGGATCAGAAAAACCACCAAACATTAGCAACAATAAAATCCATCAAACGGAGCAATAATCCTCCCTGGGACGTTAATAACATGCAATTACTGACTTCCATTGGCTGCAGCGTTGACCTGATATCTTGGGAAGGATTTTGTCATCTTAAAGGTTTGACAGTCAGGTTCTCTTTGTATGTGAAAGGCTACAGCGTTCATCTTCGGCCCATCTATCACTCCTGTCTTCTTTTCTACAGTCCTCCATTCATCTATCAGTCCATTCATCTTTCCATCCATCAGCTCGTGTGGCCTTTGTTCCACGTTTGGATCCATCTGTCATGGCCTCTACAAAGCCTCATGGCTGTATGCATAGACATCTCATTTCAACTGTTCACCTTTGTCAGGTTGCCTAAGATAAACAACGAGCAAATCCTGAGTGGAGATATGGAGTGAAGGGAAAGATTTTCACTAAAATTTATTTGGTTTTTAGGCATCTAATTTTTTTTTATAAATTCTACCAACCATGAACCCTCTTTGCTTCAGGCTATTCTTTGAAATTTTCACCTAAAATGTTTTTAAATAATGTACCTATATGTATTTAAAATAGCAGCATGTTTCAAATTCATCCAAATATAAATGAGTGGTTCAGTCAAAAAAACATGTGTAATTTTGATTCCACAAATGCAAATCCTGAAATCAAAGATTCACCTGTCAAAACCTTATCCTGAAACATTTTCACACTGGCACAGGGACTCTCAATATGACAGAAAACAATCATGGCTACAGCCTGGATTGTCCACATCTAATCATGCTGATGAGTAATACATTTTAAAAAGTGGTCAAATGTGAAGGCAGCTGAAAGGTGGGTGCAAAATGAACTGTGTTGGGTACAATGTGGGCAGAGGTGGCGAAAGGAAATAATGTGCAATCCCTAGAATATATTTTTGCAGGCCTTACACACACAAAAAGTTGAGAATTTCAAAAAGTGTCCAAGTAAAAAAAAAAAAAGACTGCAGGTCACTGGTAGCACACACTCCCCAATGAAAAATTTTACCTATTTACTTGCAATTTCAAGTCACCAACTTATCTTCAACAAATGAAGCACAACAAAATAAAAGCCTAAGAGGGAATTTAATCCAAGGTGCTCAGGTAATAAATGGCTTAAACTTCCACACAGCCACTGTGTTGTGCTTGATCTGATGTGTAAAAAACTATTTTGATTGATCAGAACAAGCGAATCAATGGGTTGCTTGAGAAAGAATTTAAAAAAAACAAGCTAAGTGGATTTCCTGGCTCCAATATAAGCCAATTAACCTTACACTGAGGCAATTAACAGTGAATGGAGTGGTTCAATATCACAAAAGTGAAGCCCCAAGAAGTTATTTGCAGAATAGTTTATCTCGATTGAGCTGCATGGTGCCAGTCTTCAATCTGGCAATCCACTCAGCCCTGCACAATAACCACCTCTGAACTTATTGGTAAATGTGACCCGGTGCCGTGTCATCTTTAATGATGATTCATGCCAGCTCTCTGCCCCTGCACTTGGTTTCTCCTAACCTCGCTGCATGTTAATGATGACTTTCCTTTCGACTGGGTGCTGTTGGTTCAGGGTATGGGTTCATTCACAAGAGGTACACATGATTAGAGAGACAAATGATATAAAGGCCAATCATCTCCCACCCACTGCGGCCATTAAAAAGAACACAAAGCGACAATAGATCAGTGCTAATTAGATGCAGAATGTGACCATAACAACACATTACTCCAATTAATCAGTGTATCAGTCTTTGAGGAGAACTTGAGTTGACCTTAGGATTTGCATCATACTTGTCACTTTTGTAAAAGCATCAACAGCAGCTTTAAATATAAGATGGTCAAACAATAAATAACGGTTCTCATCAGCTTGTTTACACAGCAGTGTGCTCGCATTTGCCTCAATGAGTAATTCATGATATCATCACACAAAATACTAAGACAAGCATCCCAGCAGGTGGTTAAAGTAAATATTTTAGGTTTTCAGACACTGACTCCAATCCAATATCTCTCTTTTTAAAAAATGTTTTTATTTCCTGTGGTTTGATTATTCAATATTTCATGTCAAAGCTGTGTTCATATCCAGTATTTACACAGATTTCTTTTTAAATGTTGTGAAAATAGCACGTATATGCTAATTTTTTGTTTTCAAGGAAGGAGTTTATTGTCTTTAATTTTAAAATAACAGATATTAATTTGGGAATCTCATTTCTAAGAAAGTTGTGAAAGTTACATTTCACTGTTAGGTGAAATGGTTTCAATCCAAATACATTTCCTGCTTGGCGGCACGGTGGCTCAGTTGGTAGAGCTGATGCCTCWCAGCAAGAAGGTCRCCGGTTCAAATCCCGGTCCGGGGACCTTTCTGAGTAGAGTTTGCATGTTCTCTCCGTGCATGCGTGGGTTCTCTCCGGGTACTCCGGCTTCCTCCCACAGACCAAAAACATGACTGTTAGGTTMATTGATAACTCTAAATTGTCCCTAGGTGTGAGTGAGAGAGTGAATGGTTGTTTGTCTCGTTTGTCTCTATGTGTGGCCCTGTGATGGACTTGCGACTTGTCCAGGGTGTACCCCGCCCCTCGCACTGTGACTGCTGGATATGGGCACCAGTGACCCACGCAACCCTGAAAAGGAAGAAGCGTGTACAGAAAATGGATGGATGGATGGATTTCCTGCTTTATACAATAAATGTCACTAATATAAAACTATACAATGCGTATGCTGCCATGAAGCAAACTGTAAAGAGCCTAGCTGACAAATTAATAAATAAACCACATAAATATTATTTTTAGAGTTTAATCACTTGGTGACATTTCTTCTGCTTAAACTACTGATGTGTTTACTCTAGAGTTTGGAAGAAAACACTCTGTTTTTGTCGTCCTTCACTTAAAATCTTCTGTAGGACCACAACAGACCACATAATATCAAAGTGTTATCAAAGAATGTCACAGCACACTGCAAGAAAAATAATATTGTTTTTTTGACAAAGTCTGACCTATTTTTGTTTTTGAAACTAAAGGGAAGAAGAAATTACAATTCATAAGGTTTTGCTTCAGCAAACCAAATTACTGATATTTAAATGGAAGCAATATTTATATTTAATTAATATATTGCACTAATATATTGCACTAATGTGTTTTTTCTGGGATTTGTATTTTATAGAAAAATTAAATAAATTCAAAATAATCTATAGATTAGGGGGTTTCAAAATTGAAGGTGGGAATTGTTCTTTAAAAAATAATTAATAAAATTATAATAAAGGACTTACAATTCACAATGTTCATCTCATTTCCATGTGACCTGTTAACAGATTATTAATATGATAATTCTCCTGAATGTGTTAGTTTTGTCTGTCCTTCAAGACAGGATGTTGGTCTTTGGATCAGCATCAAACTGTTGTCTCACATTGTGAATTAAATGGTTGGAGCAGCTCATAAATGAGGCAGCGTGTGTCTAATGAACTCAGTGCTGTCAGCATACAGAAAAGCAACCTTTTCTTTCCTATGACATAAGAACCCTTAAAACATTTAAAAATATACACCGCTGGCCTTTTCAAATGGATCTGAACATGTAGGTGTCTTTGGCAAATTTATCTCACAGCACGCTGCCGTTTCTTACAGTATGTCACTTATCATGAGTCCTCTTTTGATCAACACAGAATGTACTCCTTTTGAACAAAGAGAAAACTGATTTATCCAATCTTATGGAAAATTAGTTTAGACATGTTTTCACAGCATAAATGGCAAAAAAACACAAGGATTTACTTCAATAAATTACTCAGGTTGAAAGATGCCAGATCCTCCCATTTTGGTGTCTTCATGTGAGGGTTTTTCTCAAGAGTAAAAATCTCACCAACCAAAAGTACATGAAACTTGCATTTTGCTTTTAGAAAACCAGAGACTTTTTCACTAAAAGAGATGGTTTCCAATTGTAAAATAATAGCAGCACAGTGAAACCATCCTGTTTCCACCCTCAGCAGACATTCTCTTCAGGTCACAGGTTCAGACCAATCATCTGTCATTTGGAACTGACCAGTGCAGAATGTATGGGAATTCAATGGCACGGCATTGTGATGATGGGTTCTGCACTGCAGTCAAAAACAGTACAGTCAATTGGGTGGAATCCAATAAAGGTTGAGTCAAGGATGCGATAACCACACTGGTCCAGGGATGAAATGAGAAGTCAAAAGGTCCAAGAAAGAAGCTTTAAAAGCTGAGTGTGTGTGAAGGGGAAACAAATTGCCATCAGATTTATTGACAGGAAAGAAGGCAGGTGTTTCCATGATTGCTATGAAGACATGGACCCCCTGGTTAGTAAAAAGTTGCATTCAGAAAGATCAATGAAACAAAGCTGGGAAATAAAATCTACCATTTATAACAACATAGCATCAGAAGAATCAAAACTCTCTCTATTGTCATTTAAACATAACATCAGGGATGCAATGTAGAACGAAATTGCAGCTAAGATCACCCATTCAAGAAAAGACACACATAAAACATGGGGGAACAGGTGAACAGGTGATGTGGCAACCAGGTAGTGCTACCTTTTTTGCAGCTAGAAATACACAATAGGAAGGCTGAGTTTTAAAAAAATGCTCTGATCCTATGTTTACATCGGAAACACAGGGTCATATGCACAAAAAAATGGCTCGCGATACAGCAAGACAGCCTGGGCAGGGAGGGAGCTTAGGTCAGATAACACATGAGATGGGGCGGGGATCAGTGGAGTCAGTGACGTTGATGGTGGGGTCTCCGTACTAAAATCGACCATAGCCCCCCAGAGTCCAGAGTCGCATGATGTTATTTATCTCGGCTCGCCAGAGTTCAGAGTTTCCTCTCCTCGGCCTTGGGTTCACGGCCAGTTCCAACACGGATGACGGGTTGGGGTGAGGGAATCAAGCCCTTGCTGACATATCATCCTGGGGAGTTTCAGATAAGTATGGCAACCAAGGCCAAGCCGCTGGGAACCGAATAGATAACACAATTGTTTGGGACAAAACAACCTTGAATTTTCTGCTGTTTTTAATGTCTTAACTGAATCTCTGAAAGTGGTGAAAAAACTTCAATCAGCCGAATTTCGGGGTCTTTCGCCTCTTTACCGTCTGAAGCTTCACCCAGATGTAATCCTACATGCCAGAGGTCCGCTCCTGAGCTGTGATCCTCATCAGAACCACATCCAGTTTGCAGATTATCTCCCCCAGCTGCTGAGTCTGTGTGCTTCCAGGTCAGTGCAAGCCTTCCAATGCGCCCAACAGCTTCTCAACAGCCCAGACCGCTGTTAGGGTCGCTTTTACTTTTCGATAAATCAGAACTCCGCTTCCTCTGATCAGCAAAAATCCAGTTATCATAAATCCAAATATATGCAAATTTTCCATAACTTCAGTGGAAAGTAGTATGAGACACATCAGGTTCCAAGCTCCCCAATAACCACTGATATGACCAGCAGCAACCATTCCACTCAGACAGCTACATTCCCCTCGTTCCAATCTTAATGTGAAAAAATAGTATCAATTGCGTTCAGAGACGAGTTGACCAAATCCATAATTCCTTTTATTTTGAATGGTAGGTAGAAAACAGGCTTGAAAAAGCTGCAAAGCAGGGTAGAGGGGCAGGTTCAGGAGAGAGCAAAAAAGTGTCTGTTTCCTCTGAAGGCCAAGCGAAGAAGATGTTTTACCATATAATTACTGTATGTGGTAAAATATTTTACAATCAACCTACCTATAGAATGTTTTCATGTTAAAATATTGCCACAACATGATTCTTTTGATAAAAGTCTGCTGGGTAAAACTAGATTTGCTTAATTTATAAATAATCTAATTTTTTTCATCTCTGTGACATTGTTTACATTTTACTGAATAAAGTGGTAATAACAATCTGGCACTCATGATAACTGGTAGACTGGCCCAACAACAAAAGCAAAATCAAAGTCTTGGATTGTCATCACAATCTTACTTGCTGCCCACATGATAAGGGTCAAACTGTGGCTGGGTCTGATTTTCATTGACAATATAATCATATTTATCCAGTTCATTATGAGGCTCAAGCAGGAAAAATATCATAAAAATGTGATTTCAGAGAGCTCAGATGCTCATTGAATCTTCCATCCATCCATCCATCCATTTTCTGTACACGCTTCTTCCTTTTCAGGGTCGCGTGGGTCACTGGTGCCCATATCCAGCATCAATATCATTGAATCTTTTGTTGTCTAAAAAAAAACAGCCGAGACTTTCTGGCATTCAGAAGTGTTAATCCGTGTTGGGTGATAACAGCTAAACTCTACTTTGCCAAATAACTTTTAAACTCAGGGATGTAGCATAAAAGCAAAAAAAGTTAATTAAAATATGGTTATCTTAAAATCGTAATTGAAAGGTTATTATTTTCAAAAACAGCAAATATGTTTTAATTCAAGCATCAATTTGAAGACAAATGCAGCACAAATAGCTGTTATTCCTAAATAACTTCATTTCAATCAACAACACGTGGCCTTTTTTGGACTATCTTAAGAACTTTATCCAAAAATTCCAGTAGCAGCTATTACAGTTGCTGAGTCATTGGTAGAAATCAAATCAGAGGTTTTATTTTGGCTATTTATCCTTTTAAACAGTGAGCTTAATGAATATATACATTTTTTTAATGCCCCAAGATGCCAAATTCAGTGTACGTGCCCTGCTATTTCTCATTCCCTGTTTCTGCCTTACAACCTGCAGTTCTGATTGTGGTGACCGCTGTTGAAGGACAGTCTGGATAAGTTTATTAAAAAGTATCATCAGTCGGCCCTCAGCTTCAAAATCTGACATCTCACAGGTGAGTAACTTGCCTTAAATAATACTTTGTCCTTCAAATAAAAAAAGACTGTCAAACGCAGAGATATATAGTGCGTTATAGTCCGGTGGCATAAAATGTTTTTATATCCTTCATAAAACAGCACTTTCACAGTGTCCCTGTTTGAAAACTCTATTTTTCCCTGGGATCTAATGGGGCTCAATGGAACCCCTAATTGGCAGTCGCTGCAGCCTGTCCTTTGAGCTGCTGTTGCTGTGGGGAGATTTCACTGTTCAAACCAGCTTTGAAGTGCTTAAAAGAGATTTTTTTTCTTCAATGCTGTGGCAGCAGATACACCAATGGTCAGATGGGAAAATAATTGAATAGAAGAAGTAAAATTGAAGCCTGTGTCGTAAGTCTACAACAGTTTACCGTGAGTCTGCAGAGAAGGGTGGCTTAGCATTGTTGCTGTACCTAAACTTGCACCAAAGCTATCAAAAAGGTTTACTGAGCTCCCATTTCAAATGGAACTCCACACCCCAGTTGGAGAGTAAAAGAAAGAGATGATCAGTAAGAGAAGCCTTTTATGTCTTTTTTTCCCTTGATTTAACTTGAAACAAGCCCAAAGCACAATCTTTCTTTGACCTTGCAGCTTCCCAACATGCTGTCTTAAAACAACCAGAGCAGTATGTCAGATTAAAGAATGCATACATTTTATACACTATATTATTTTAGCCATGTAATAAAACAGAATGCAGATATAGAGATCTGCCACATTGGTGATTATTATTTTAATTTGTTGGGCTTTAAGTCGGCCTCATCTTGGATTTTGGTGGGTCTTACGTTAATTAAACTGATATTCATCATACAGGGTTGCTCTTTGATTTTATTTTTGTAACGACAATTCTGCAAACACAAACTGTTCCTCCATTCATACCTTCAGGTCTGAACCAACTTCATCTTGTTCAGAGTTAGAAGCTGGATCCAACCTCAGTAAAGAGGATGGGTCTATAAAAATGTAGTACATGCTCACCCTCATTTATCATTCATCAAACCCATCAACCCTGATAAAACTAACGCAGCCAGGGAGAAAAAGAACATCAAATTAAATCGTAGTACAGAAACTGCTGCACTGATCAACTTGAAATTAGGTAGGAATGCAGATGTGTCTGATCTACACTGCAACAGCCAATGGTTTTACGATAGACCCCATATTTGAGGAGGGGGCTCCATCTAAAAATTGTGTGCTTGGACATAGAAAAATGCTTTTAACTCAAAAACTATTCAATAGAGAAGCTTCAGATTTTTTTGTTGTTTAGCTCTGATGAAGGGCTATCCATCGAGCACACCAATGAGCCCCTATCCCCAGCCCCACCCAAATCAATCAATCCATTCTGATGACTTCTGAGTTCTAGTGCATTGGTGCTTTGCAGGGGTCATATATGCAATATGCAGTATCTAGTTTATAATAAAAATGTACATAATAAACAAAAATGAGGACCGAATGCAGCAAAGCACAATGCCTGGTAATACTGTATTATAATAAGATTAAGAGTTTGGTTTGAGTTCATATCATGAGAATTAATGTGTAAACAAAGCATATTCAGCTGAATATGTTTATTCTACCAGAAAAAGCCCTGACATTCCTTTGCACTCAACAAGATGAGTTTGTTGACCCTCTCTGTAGCTCCAGCAGGAAAAGGTCTTACAGTCTGAAAAATCAAAAACCAAAGCACAGATGGCAGTTCAGCAGATTGGATTAGGCCTTAAGTCTTCAAAGAAGTCCCTTTCCGCAAAAGCTGCTCCCTTCAGTCATGCTAATACTGTTTATATTTCCTTATCCACTTTTATTTCCACCAGTGGTTGGATGAAACAGGAACTCAGGAGCAGCACAAACTGCACCGACATGTGAATATTTATAGACAGGGGTGTTTAATGCTGCGAGTGGGCAAGCCTTAATGCAGCATCTCTGCCCGAGGCGAAGCCAGGAGACCCTCACTCTGACACAAAACCCCCTCCTCCACATGACTTTTCTCACCCACCCCTCTTCATCTCATTTCGGCTTTTATCCTGAAAACCGACCTCTCCCCCTCTCTCCTTTGCCATTTCACTGGCTTTAATATGAACACACAGTCATACAGGACTCCGGGGAAAATAAACATTTAATCAAAACCTTTTTTAATGTCACTTTACGCTTGTGCTGTCCTTCTGAATTGGTCAGGGAGCAATTGTCATTCAGGCACTTGTGCTCTTTACTACTCTAAATTTAACAGTGGTTGCACATGTATTACTTTTCAGGTGTCTGTCCTGAGATTTGAATCACCAGTAAAATATGAATCCCACATTCATTCAATTATTATCTGGGTACTGATTCTTTTTTTCCCCTTTCTTTCCATTAAAAAGAATGTGCTTCAGCAAGTCGGTCTCTTCTAGTTCAGTCTGGGCAGTAAAGTTTTCAGTTAGTCCACAGAGCAGTCAAGCATGGAGAATTAAATGCAGGGCAGCTGACAAGCAATTAATATCAATTACAGGAAGAAAGAGTGTGAATGTGACTTTACCAGATGAAAGCAGTTTCTACGTCTATATATTTGAAAAGCACGCAGCTATTCGGGCAAATGGAGTCGGCTTATAATCAAGTCAAATGCACTGTATCTCACACTTGACTAAACTCAGTTAAAAGTAGGATTTGAGAGTTTTAAAACCATTTTTTTCTCACATCTCATAATTACATCGCTGGACTTAGCCTTTTCACAGTTACGGTAAAAGTTTCTTGATTTCTGCTCACTGTCTGATAGCGGCAGCAAAGACGAGGGAAGCAGCTGAGTGAACAAAGCGTTATGTAATCAATATCACTGGTCAGTTGGAACAGAGAGGTGACCGAACTGTGGCTTACACATATTTTTTTTCTCAGAAGTCAAAGGGAAAAATGAGGCGGGAGGTAAGTGAGGAGCAGTTTGAAATGGGCCAAAAACGAGAAGTATGATTTGAAGAAATCCAAGATGATTGAAGGCACCTTGAAAAGTTGCAGGGGCAGCAATCCAAGTCAGAGCAGAGCAAAGTTAAAGTTTTATTCATTACTGTAAATTAAAACTGTCATTCTGAACAATTAAAGGATGATTTTAATTAAACTGTTCACTAAAAACAAATACTAATTTATTTATGTATTTGTTTACCCCCTCCTCCCTATTATTTCTGCTCATTTTTGTACAACAAACTGAGAAATTTTAGGGTTTATTCACACCAGGAAAGTCCTTTGGTCCACTTGTTTGCGAGCGGACCAAAGCAGACTTTATTTTTATTTTATTTTTTTGTTTGGTGTGGTTTGCATTCAAATTAGGCTTTTTTACAAACTAACTATAATTTACAAACAAAGCCACGCAGATGATGTCATTGCTCCCATTCGATAGAAATGACAGGGGTGGGACAGATCAAAGAAAGATGGTGCTGTTTATAAAATTTCAAAAACAGCTCATTCAGCAAACGTTTCATGATAATATACTTCTAATTTTGAGATGGAGTTGCCAAATGCGTGCCCCAACCCAAGAAGAGGAGATGCTCTGCATGCCCTGACCCACAATAACTCATTGCAGCGCAGTGTTAGCATTAGCAACAGTGTCTCGTGAAGTCCAAAAAGGCACGTTTCCTGTAGCTGGTTCGGTTTGAGGCCGGTCTGTATTCACACCAGAAGTGAACCGCATCAGAGTATGTTTGGAAGCAGACCAAGACCACCTCGAAAGTGGGTCTTGGTGCAGTTATTTGGTCTGGTTATTTGGAGTGTATTCACACCTGCATAAAAGATCTGGACCAATGGGGGAAATGAACTCTGGTCCATTTAAAGGAGACCAAATGTGTCAGGTGTGAATACACCAACAAATTGTAAAATACAAGCTACAATTTCCAAAATCAAATCATTTTTAATGACACTAAATAATTATCATTGTTGCTCTGATTTGGTGACCAAGATTTGAATTTAACTATTTATACCCTGTATTTTGTCACACTTTAGTTCAGTTTGTTTTCCTGTAAAATCAAGCAAACAAAATACTTGTAAGCAAAAGGCATTCTGAAGATGGACATTTTTTATTTAAAAATTTGCAATCCAGTTTCAGTTTTGTACAAATTTTGAGGCAACTTTTTAAAAACATTTTTAAAAATGTGTTGACAACTGTTGACAAATAATTCTATTTTTTTTTACCTGTTTGGCTAAAAATCATTAAGAAAAATGGAAACAGTGAGCTAAAACTTTTTTAGGGCTACGTAACATAAGACAAAACATTTTTAGAACACCTCTAACATATTTCAACATAAAACAAAATATTCTTAATGATAACTTGGCCTACAAAAATACATTTACATTTATTACAAACACATTTATTTTAGCTAATACACAAAAATTAATTATCACAAAAAAAGATGTAAAACTCTTTTTTGGACCATTTGTAACTACAATAAATGGTGAACTGAGTTGATGAATTCATAATAATTAAAGCTTGAAACGATGCCTTCCATTCAGATTAAAAACGCATCGCAGGCAGGTGCAGAGAGACTGCAGACTGATGATATAATAATTTCGGGATGCAGCAGCACTGATCCCTGATGTCACAAGTCCAGATGAGACATGATTAGATATTCAGGAAGCTCCACAGCAAACACATTACATTATTCATTCCTGTAACTTTTCCCCACCCTCCCATGCCACCAGAAACTCGTCTGTATTGACACAAAGAGATACAGAAAATGTGTCAACAGAATTTCCTTTTTCATTTTGACGGTAATGGCGTGATTTGCAAATGCTTGGAGATGGAAATGAACAACGGGCAGCTGGAAGTAGAAAGTGTCAGATAATGTGTGCACAAATGCTTTGAAGCTTCAAAAGTAAACTTGGAAAGTGCTAAAGGGATGGTTGGTGTAGCTGTGAACTTTACAAAGAAAGAACATTCAGACAGCACCATTTAGCTGAATTTGTGTACTAAGTTTCTGAAATATTGAAGATTTTTGCACTAAAAAAGGCCAAAAACATTTCTATGTAAAAGTGTATTGCATCATGCTGTACGTCTGCTGTTATTACTGGTGATATCAATGGGTAGAGATGGAATGGAGTGAGCTGACAGTTTGACCTTTGATCAAAAAGTGTCAGCTGTCACTCAGTCTGTCCATCGCCAACAACCTGACCTTCACTGGATGTCTGTCATTTCATCAGATCTCTGCTTCCTGGTCTTTTCTTCTAGAAATGAATCCTATAAACCCATTCAATGGAAGTAGAATTTTGTTAAACTGCTGGATAGGTGATTGATTTGTTTTTAGCATTAAGGTCCAGTGTGTCTGAAGATGCCAGTGAATCGTCAGATGGCCTTATTAAAGCAATTTCATGGTTGCTAAATGTTTTTTTTTTTTTTTTTTTTTGGGGGGGGGGGGGGGGCATTTTAATCTGAAATGCACCAGTGTGCTCATGCAAACATTCAAAATTAAAAGCATATCCCTTAAAATTAGCTTCATTTTGTTTTTCTCCCCCAAGTTCGAAAGCCTCGCCTTAGGTAAACTGATGTGCCACCCTCTAGTGGAGCTGAACGTTAGCATTTATTCTTCATAATCACGTTTGGTTAAAACCTAATTGGCAGAGGCAGGGAGGCAGAAATTGGGGGACAACAGAAAGCTACAACAAATGCAATTAGATCAAATGCTGGGGAAAGGAGGCGGCGGCGTCAGAGAAACGCTCAAAATGAGGCGAAGAGAGTAAAGAAAACTTGTCAAAATTGTCGTTTCCAAACAGAGACCCTCCGAGGTGTGGCACATTTACGTTGAGTGGGATTGCGTGCCAAGGAGGCAAGCGTTGCACTTCAGGCTCATTTCCTCCCATCGCAATTAGAAGGTTGCACATCAGTTAACCTGCATACATATTTATGTCCCATCATGAGGCAGATCTGTGGTGTCTGAGCTGCATAAAAAAGGAAAAAGCTGGGGAGCAGAGCGGCTTCGCACCCCGCAGACACCAACCAAAATGAGGTGACGGAGACGCTGATGGCGCTCGAGGCTTATTGAAGACATCCCAGACTTCTGATGGGCGTCACCTTTGTCTCCCTCTTACATCACAAGAAAGGCCTTTGAAACAAATACAAAACTGGACCAGTCGCCCTGCACAACAAGCTCTTTGATACTCTTCATGAAAGCCTCACACACAATAGCTTGATGTTAATTGTGACTAATAATTCCAGCCCACATTCTGCTCTGCATGCCATCACGCCAAGGTCTGAGATATCCCCCGACTGCCCTGGATGGCTGCCAGCAAACAGAGACACAGCAGCGGAATGAAAAAGCACAGTGGCAGACACGCACGCTCTCATGTTAATTATTTGTTTAATAAATATGCAATAACTCCAGTTCCTGGGGCAACAACTGATCTCAGAACGGCGTGTCTCTACAAGAGTCAGTGTGAACACATAAGATCCTTTTTTCCCTTGAATGTCTGCAGAGGCTATGTATTTTCTAATGTTGAATGGATGTTTGCATTTGTTATTTTTACTTTTTCATTATTGCTTTGTGGGTTTGCCTAATCCTGATTATCCCCACGTAGCACTGAGACAAGGCACGCTTTGCTTTCCCTGCGTGTCTGCTCCACAAATAGCTCAATTTTTAATCACCAAAGTCTTTAATCACTCACCACCACTCGCATCCAGGGTTTTACAAGGATGATTAGGAAAGTTGGTGAGCAACAGTCCTCCAACGATGACAAAGATACTGTTTATCCATAATCCTCCATTATTTCAGCACAAGAGCGTAAAACTCACTGTCTGAGCTGTGATGACTCTGCAAACCATCAAAAAAAATAAAAAATAGGAACAAATGCTGATGTGAAGGCAAACTGTTGTTTTTTTATTGTGTTCATTCTTATTTTACTGTTATAGAGATGCATGATTATTCTGTTCACATGGATGTCAAATGGATATTGTGTCTTCATAAACATAACTAAGATTAAAAAAAGAAAAAAGAAAAAAGGTTTCTATGTTTACCATTTAGAAGGATTGTTGTAAATTTCAAATGAACCAAAACAGCCCAAAGCACGTTCCACCAAGTCTGCTGCACAAGTTATTTATTTCAGTAACTCAGAACGGACTAATCAAATACTGACAGCTTTTTGTCATTTTCAGTAAGGCTGTTTATTCTACACACTTGCAAGAAAAAAAAGGATATTACATTTGGCATTTTGCACTAAAACTTCAGATTGTGTCATTTAAAAATCACAAGTGTGTTTGTTTTGGTACATTTTTTATCAAAATCAACAAAAGATCTACCCCTCCAAACACTTTACATCCATAATTACTTTCGTTCTATTGTGTTTTTATTGACCTTTTTTATTAATTATGTCTTTTTTTTTCCTTATTTCACCAAGAATAAGCTCAGAAAACAGGGTTTAGCTCATTTGACTAGTCAAAATTTCATGGAAAAGTAAATATACTGATATATATTCAGTCATTTCAAATACATATTTACGCTTGAGATGGTTGGAATATTTTATAATCAATGTGCAAAAAGTTTATTTTTACACTGTGATTAAGACTGTTATGAGAAAAGCTTTTTCCTGAGGGGATATCTGGGATGGGCAATCCTGGTCCTCGAGAGCCGCAGCCCTGCATGTTTTCCTTTTCTCTCTGTTCCATCACACCTGATAAAGTCATTGGGCCTCATGCAGGAACATGTTCGTATTCTTATCCTAAATTTCTCTTACTTTTGTTCGTTCGAAGGGTTCGTACGAACATGTCACGTCAGATTCAACAAACTCTTCTGTCTTCAGGAAAAGTGTGTAAATGAGCTGCGTAAATTCCACCTGTTCGTATCCAGCTGCTCGTGCACGCGAGAGAAGATTAGCATAATTACCACCCCAAAAACACCATATAAGGCTATGTTTCCTGCCTCAGATATCAGGAAGTGTCCATTCATGAAAAATGACAGCGAAAACTAAAAAGAAGAACTTTACGAATTCAGAGATTGAAGTCCGTCTGTCAGAGATCAAGAAAATCTGTCATTTTTAGCAGGTCAGCTGTGGAATAAAAAGAGCTGCTAAAAGTATAACAACTGTGTTAAATCATTTTCATTTATTCAGAAGACCCCCCCACCCCCCGCGCATATGCCGCGCGGTCGCAGGTGGTCTCAGTTGAGGTTCTGAAATAAGCATTTTAAAATGTTTTCAAAATAAGTCTGGCACTTTGGAGAAAATCCAGGACTTGCTGGAGGGATTATGTCTCCTTCCCCCAGGATGAGCTGGAAAGTGTCGCTGGGGAGAGCGGGGTCTTTCTGCTGCTGCCCCCGCGACCCGATCATGGATAAGCGGCGGAAAACGGACGAACGGACAATTTATATTGTTAGTCTAAATTATTACATTTAAAATTATAACTCTAATTCAAGCAGAATAGCCTATTGTCAAGATAATTATGGAGTGTGATTTATTTTCAACTTAAAATATCTTCAAACTAACTAAATATAAAGTTATTAATGAAGAAAACCCGTCTGGATAACAGCAGACTGACTTCACGTAAAATATACGACAGGTCTGGACCACTCGTGAATTTTGTTCGTATCTGAAAAAAATCTTAGAATACGAAAACATTGGTGAATGCCACAAATTCTCCTAAATCACTCATACGCACAACTTAAGAACAAATCTGTGCGTACGAACGGTTCTTGCATGAGGCCCATTGATTTACCTCTTCCAAGTTCTGCACATGCCTGATAATCACACATTTATTCAAATCAGGTAAAGAAAAACATGGAGGGCTGCGGCCCTCGATGCCCAACCTAGTTCTGTGCCTCGCATTAATACAACACAATCTGACGAAATGTTTCTACATCTGAGAGTTCCGCAGTTGCTTGGCTGAGAACTGGATCACCTGAGATGTCCTTTACAGAAAGTGTGACTCAGTTCTGCAGACACATGCTCCTGTTTTGGGAATGGATTGGCCAAACACTGCATGTGCAAATAAAAAAAAAGTCAGGTCTAACTTTGAATCAGTTTCCTGGGTGTAAAATTTGAGCTCGTACTTTGAATGAACTTAATCAAATTCTTGGAAAGTTGGGTTTTCTTTAGTCCATCTGATCTAAATTGAACCCAAACACATACATTAAAAAATCTGATTTGTCTAATTTCAAAATTGTTTTGCCATTCAGAATTGTTCCAATTTAGCCCTGAAAAGAGGACATAGAAGTTGCAGCCGTGTTTAGCCAAAGCTAATTCTAATCTTAAGGAATCTATACTCAAAGCAAGATTTAAACTCACATAGGCATTGAAGTAGCCTAGTGAACAGATGTGCAAGGGTGAATTTAGAATTTTTTCAATTTTGAATCTGAGCATTGTTCCTTATTTCACAGGTCTGGTAGTAATGAAGCAAAAACAGTACAGAGCATGTTTCAGAACGCCTCAGTAAAGACTCCAATAAACAACAAAAAACAGACCCCCTGAACAGAGTTCACCCTCACAGTTCACTATCCTCAAATAAGCCCCCCGTGGCTTTTATTTTTCTGCTGTCAGACTCCACCTCAGGTTGCTGTTTGCCCTCCGTCTTAGAAGATCCTACGCCACAGACCTTCAACCAGCTTCATGTCACAGCTTGATCGAAGACAATATGTAAGTTCTCACACACTCATTTTTTCTTTTTTAGTCTGTGCATTTTTTTTGTCCAACTCTTACCAATAACTCTTTTTTCAGCAAAGTTCAAACATCTTGAGACTGAGCGCCTGGAGCAGAAAACGATCTGGAGTCAGGCCAGAGAAAGGAGGTGATAGACAAAGAAAGAGAAGAGAAGCGATGAGAGGAAGGCACAAAGGCAGCGCAGAAGATGAACTCTGTGACTTATGGTCTATCCATCTTCAGAGGAAAGATTGGTGTCTGAATATACACATTTCAGATTTTCCCTCATGCCTCAAACGTGCAACGAGACAGACAGTAGGCCATGAAAAAATAAATAAATTATTCACTTATAATAAACTTGGCAAACAATCTGGTAATTTGACTCAATTTAATGTTATGGACAAGGTTCTTAATTCCAGTTAAATAAAATATTCATGCAAAGCACATCATCAAACTAACCCGAGTTTATTATTATTTATAGTAAAGTTACAGTAGAATTAAAATGTTCACTGAAAAAACTCAGCTTTACTGAACATGTGTAGCTCGATCAGCCTGACCTACGGATGGATGGATGGATGGATGGATGGATGGATGGGACAGCCCAGCCACTGCTGACTGCATTGGCAGAAAAACAGTTAAACCTATAAATAGTGTCACTGTTTCCATATGAGTTTACAAAAGATCTTCTCAAATGGATAGCTCAGATTTCTTGGAAGTGGCTGCTGCATGTACTTTCTTCTGGCTGTGTTAGAAGCTTCATGCAGGTTAATGGTCTCTGTTTTTGAGGCAGGACGACAGGACAAACTTGGGCAGCAATGACTAAAGAAAACAGAAACTGCTGGGTGCCTGTCTGAAACCTCAAAAAGCTTTGGCCAATTATAACTCTGGAAGAAAAAGTAACACAACACTGGTAATTTTGGACCCCGTTTGGCTCAGAAAGCCTTTGCTGAGACGATGTTAAAAATATTGTCAGATTGCACATCAATTAAAGCTGCAAGAAGACTTACACCTTCGTATCTGTTGTTCTATTAATCACCAATTGAGGCTCTGCTTTTTAAACAGGTCAGCTGCAACAAACACGTGAGCAATTAAAAAGTCTCACTTTTAGGCTAATGCACAACTGACTGATCGCTGAGCATGAAAAAAGCAGGAAGTCTAAAAAAGGATGTGAGACCAAAAAAAGATATGATTGCTTTTAAGTTTTCATTCCAGTGTTTTAAGTCTTGGGAAATGTTCATCTGTTTTCAAAACTAGTGTTGGAGGTTACATTTTTTTGCTTAAATTTCTTGTCTTAAATTGTCCAAGCAGAAATAAAAACATAATATTCGCAACTGTTTCACTCTCTCACAGTAGGATTTAGTTAATTTTATTGAACAGGGTGTGTTCTGTCGTTTATTTGACTGGCAGCCTCTCGTTAAACGACATTTAAACTATATCATCTGTGCCGCTGGTACTTTTTGTTTGTTTGTTTGTTGTTCTCTTTTCTTGCCCTTTCTCATTCCAGTAAGTGACCACAGCATGCAGCCATTCAGTGACACGAGGCACCGAGCCAATCTCACTGACGTACTGCACCACAGCCTCTTACCTCTGCATGTCATTACATTTCTGGACACGCACTTAACCTAATTAAAGGATGCCAATAACAAACTGCAGCATCAGACTTTGGACATCTTGGCAGCTAAAATGTTAGATACACAAATATTAAACATTACTCCAAAGATGATATGAAATGAAAGCTGCTTCCTGTTGGTCCATTGTTGTATTTTGCAGACTTGTGGCATCAGCTAATCCTCCTTGCCGCGTCAGACAGTGTCAGCATGAGAATGATCCAAGAGGCATTTCTGTCTGCTTCAAAAGCTGGATTACAGACTCGAGGAGATTATCCATCCAACAACTTCAACAAGCATAAAAACAAAGCTATTACAATGCCTCTCAATGTGCAGTGATTAGTTGTGTATTTCTAGATTAGTGTCCCCTTGTTTGCAAACTCGCACAAAGAATCCCTGCAGTGAAAAACTTCTATCATGTTCAGAAAACAATCCTGTATTGTTTAACTAAATGTTTCTGGTCAAAGCTTGCTTTGTGTATTTTTCGCTCTCTTTAAAACATAAGTTGTATGTTAAACAAATGCAAGTTGTTTTTTTTTTTTTACAAAGAATGCGTGTTTCTTCAGGGTGGCAGGATGGAGTTCGTCTGATTAAAAAAACCTCTGCGGAGGGAAGAGTGATACGCTTTCTCCTCTAGCTGCTTATAAATGAAATAATTACATTGTGGTTCTTGAGGGAAACCTTCTCCTATTAGCCACCATTCATTAACCTTCTTCCAAAAGGAATATCTTGAAGGGGTTGGGTATTATATTTTATAGGAGTTGGTTATTTTTCCCATCCCAGCAGCAACTGGAACAGATATTCACTAAAAAAAAAAACTCGGCTGGCATGCACCGCACATCCTCCTCGCCGTGAGCAGCAAGTGATCATTTTGTTATCAATATTTTATGATGTACATTAATTACCCTTGAACTGTCTGTGAGCTGCAGACAAACGCTCCCTGGTGACTGTGTCAGAGGGAGCCCTGCCAAGTCCAGCGAACCCCGCGCTGCTGTGATTGACAGTATTTTAAGAGCTGCTTTTGACAGAAGAATCTTTCTCTGCTTCTGTGGAAAAAGCCAAACATTACTCACTTTTATAGATGTGTGCAGTCTATAACCCAAGCTCTTACCAGACCACTGAAAGTGATTTGAAGGGAGGGTGGGCTGTGTGTGTGGGGGGCGGTCCTCCCATTGAATAATGATGATTAGTGCCCAGTGGTGGAGTTTACTTTTTATGCTTTTGTTCAAGAGCCATGGTTTTGCTGCCATTCCAATAAATAAATGTGTAGTTTTTAAAATACCTCAAACAGAAATGACAACTGAGAGATTAATACAACCCCTATCATCAAATGTCGTCACACGAAAAGTGACAGGTGCTCCGCCCCTTTTGGGGCGGGACTTACAGTCAGTCCCCTCCTCCTCTCCCCCTCCCCTCCCTCACACTCCTCACTTCCTCTTTAACCGTAATCCTACCACTCACCGCACACTTCCACTTTTTATCGGATGTCAGCCTAACCGCATCCTTTGCAAAAGTTTCAAGTGACCTTAGACTTACTCACTGCCTTAATAACTTTATCCAATTAACAGGTGTAATTATCATAACAACCAACAGTGAATTTAAGGGGGGGGGGGGGTGTTTGACTTTTTTCTGATTTGATGACAGGCCCACTCATTAACCGACATGACATCATGCAGCTTTCTTCACAACATAAAATAACACTGTCAAAAACAATGGGGATGTAAAAATAACTTGTGTCAGTTTCATCAACCTGCATGTAAATTAGGAACAATTGATCCAGGGATGTTTGTAACTGATTGGAAAGCTAATGAAGGATGGGCTGACAGATTTATTTACTGAGTTTTATTTAACCAGGAAAATCTGAACAATGAAAACTAATTTCTACAACTTCCTAGAAATGAAAGTAATGAGCCTATCACTTTTATACTGGTCAAAAAAATGAAACTGTTAATCATGCTGTAGATTATGTCTTTAGATCAGTAATTTATTTAATTAAGTTCACACAACGGACTAGAATATACTCAAAATAACATTTTATATTTCCTCCACACCCGTCCATCCCCTCTTCTCTTACCCGAGACCCTCTGTCCTACCTGCTGCCCCTGACCCCTAATTTACATTACTTGCATTCCGTCTCTGCTGCGCTGCGCTGAGCAGGTCACAGCTGTGCGTTTCAAGTCCAGTTTACACTACCTATCACAGAAAATGGCTGAACCAATCAACATGAAATGTGGCAGGAATGTAGATGTGTCGGACCTACACTGCACCAGCCAACGGTTTTACAACCCCATATTTGAGGAGGGGGCTCCATTTAAAAAGGTCTGGTCGTACAGAACTGCTCATAACTCAAAAACTACTCAACAGAGGAGCTTCAGATTTTATTTTGTTTATTTGGGGTTGTTTAGGTCTGATGAAGGGCTATCCATCGAACCCATCAATGACTTCCCCCCCACCCAAAATAGTAAATCTGTTCTGGTGAGTTCTGGTGCACTGGTGCTTACGTGCAGCAGTCATATATGCTGTTGCGATACGGTACCTAGTTTTTTACTACAAATTTGAAATTCTCCTGTATGAGAATTTTCAACAAGAAGTTCCTGAACTTGGTGGCAAAGTTGCTTTTTGTAAGGTTTTTATCGTGGACCCTCAAATAATCCCATTCAAAACCCATATCTGAAGGTAGTCATGCCTGGGTTACAACTATTTTATTATCTTCCCTTCCAAATGAAGGATTTTTACAGTATATATTTTACAGTCTAATAAACAATGAGTTTGCATTTTCATTGTCCTTTAGACTGAAACAAAACCAAAAAACACACCACATGATTAATTTCACTGCAAAGCGTCTTACTATGGGAGTCAGTAAAAGTAAGGACGACACAGAGTTATCTTTACACCCAAGTCTGATGCACAGAAACATTTTGCAGCTTTTTTGTGTTTCTTGGCCAGAAAAGCAAAGGGGAAAGGGAAGTGATCTTTTCGAAACTCCTGAACCCTTTCCAATAACACTGAATTCATCTGACCTTTTCTAGTCAGCAAGCGGTTTTGCTGAATGCTCCCACAGATTAAGCACAAAATCATTAAAATGGTCATGCTGCCAGCCAGATCGGACACATCAGAATGAGGGCCAAATGTTATAGGAGCTTATGGAGTGTGAAAGGTTAACTGGGGAAGGTGTGCAGAGAAAAAAACTCCAAAATTAATGCCTAAAAACAAGACAAGAAATAGCCTGTTGACTGTATTTGTCACATGAAATAGTTTGTTGTGTTTAATGGGTCAAACCACTGAAACCTCCCAGCTTTATTTGAAATAACTTAACTGGCAAGTATCCCCATGCCCCCAACAAGAACCCCACCTGCATCACAGCAGACATTTCCTGCCAGTTCTCAGTGCTGAATTGCTCTGAATAATTGTATGTGTAGGCCTGCAGTATCTGTTATTACTTCCCAATTGGGATTCTGCTTGTGCAGGCATTATAATTAAATTCATTAGGAGGCACACTGGGCACACTGCAGCACAGTCAGGATTTTATTATGCCACAAAATTATATAAATTTTTAGGCAAACCAACCTCAAAGCTGATGACTCAAGCAGTTGCAAACTAATGGACCCTTACATCGAGCTCTTAATAATTTAACAAAAACTGCAGCTCGATGTAGGAAGAACACAACACTTCATTATATATTGTGAATAATAAAACTGA